TTTAAAATAGGCTAAACATATTATATCTTGTCAATACTTAAAATATTTAAAACTTTAAATACACTCGACTTCATCCTTATCCTGCATGAACTATTTTTAGAAAAAAACAAAATTGTTACCCCTGGTTGGGTTGGGTTGTACAAAATCATCGCTCCTACAGCCGAGACGTGCTAGTTTCTCCGCTCTGAACTATAAATAAGTATACAGTACATAGTCAGTGCATTTATTTAAGAAGGAATAAAAAAGTTGAACAGGGTTAACGAACCCCTACATTAAATAGGCCAAAGATACCGAATGCACATGCAGTTCGATTTAAAAGTAAATTCAGTTCGACGCCGTAAAGGACGTTACAATTAGTACTTAATAAACACATAAATCTTATGTAAGTAATCAAACTATTTTCTAATCTTTGCCTTAAATAAAAAAACTCCGAGACCTTCTCGAGTATAAAAAAAATGTTAGAAGCAGTAAAAATAAATATAAATCAAATTTCTTAATTGTTAAATAAGAAAAGAAAACGTAAACACAAGAAAACAACGAATAGTCGTTTTCAATAAATAGCTATTCTACTACTTAAATAGTTAAATTAGATAATTATAATTATGGATTATTATGGCGACTGCCTTTCCGCTGGGACAATAAGTCAATAACATATAACGAGTCATTCCAAGAGTGTGGGGAAAGTAAAAACAACACCCCAGTGGGGCAAACAACTGCGTGCAGCAGATTTCGAATTCCATCAGACCGGACCCGGACCCGGATGAAATACAAGACCAGTAAGGATGTCCAAGTAACGTACTAAAAACCCATGCCTCATTCATATACCCCAATTGAATAAGGTCATTACTAATACCCTGGTTGAGGGGGAGTCCGGATTGTACTTAGTTTTGGGTCAGTTCAAGGCCCCCAAAAACCAACTGTTGTCCCTCCACTAGCATAAATCGGGCGTATGGTCGGCCCGACGACAAAATTCCTGGAATGGCCTTAACCATCGACACTGTCATCCATGACGACCTCCTAGGGAAGATTACCTGCCGGGGTGAAAATTCGGATCCACCAAACATAGGTAACGCTGTGCAGTGGCGGGATATGTATAGAACCCTGGCCGATGGGGCCTGCAATACGTTCTTATACTCATACTCAAACCAAAATTGTTACCCCTGGTTTCATGTGTTAATTAGAAAAAATATAAGTTACTAAACAGCCATTCCACGTTACTCACAATTTTTAATAATAAAAATTGTGAGTAAAAGCTACCGCGACTAAATTAAATACTATCGTATAGTTATTTAGAAGACTTGCCAAGATAAAATTGGTATTTTTTATTTTTGCCAACTATCTTAAACAAATTTTGTTTAGAAAACTATTAATTCATTTTTATTAACTAATTATATAACAATAACTAATATATGGGGCATTTCACGCCAAGCGGGCAACTTTAAAAGCAAAGTTGTTTAAATTTGTTTATATTTGGGTATGCTGTACCCCTAAGGGGTCTTAGCATTGACATAAAACCATTTGACCCTGCGAAGCCTAGGGACCCTGCTAGGGGCTTTTACATTTTCGTCAAAACGTTGAGCATGGGGTATTTTAAAGGGGTCTAGCTTCTTGAAAAATCTTCGTAGAAAAAAAATAAAAAATCACATTGGTAGGTAATTCTATGCTCTTTTTCGTTATGCACTCAAATTAAAAATTCAAATTTGTTAAAAATGAAAAATTTTGTTTTAAAAAATTAAAATTATAATTTTTTTAATTTCGGCCAGTTTTTTTAATTTTTTTAATTGCTTAAAAATTCTCTCAAAATGTATAGATGAGGCATAGAAAATTTTGTAATGGGATGAGCACTCGTTTAAATGCTAGAGGACTTGGAGTAAACCCGCCTCAAACCTAGTGCATGCCATGGCGCGCCGCGGAGTTAGGTCCTAGCGCGTGATACACTGTTTAGTCGATCGCGCTTTTGAAAAACTTGTTAAATAAAATTTAATTATTGTGCACAACCAATTCGATATTGTTTACCTTGATTTTATTGTCCTTTTTAATATTTTTTTACCGAAACAAAAAATATAGGCATTTAAACATGAAGCATTGCATTACAATAAATTTAGTAGGTACTTACGAACCCAGAAATTTTCTTAACATTTTGGTTGTATATAATTATGTTAACAATGCTTTTTATTATGATTTAAAATTGATTGTTTGAAAATAATAATAAACCAAAATTTAAAAATGATAATATTTAATCACAAGTCATCTATGGATAATATTCCAAAAGGATAGTTACTAGGGACACAATTGTTGCTAGAATGTTTGTTTATTTACTTTAATGTAAATATTTTCCTATTACCTAAAGTATTTAGCAAAGTTAAAAAAGTAGTTTTTATCTGTTTTTAGTTTTTATGCGTTCAGTTTTTTTCTGTTTTTAAGTAAACAATTCATTTTATTTATTATTAACGTTTACTGTTATCTGCCTGTTCCAATTATGTCTCCAAACCCTTTGAGCTTATGAACCATAGAAGGACTAGAGGAATTCGAAAGATTTTCAATGAAAAATCAAAAAAGTGGAAAGTTTCAAATAAGAATTTTGTTTGTGGTACGTGCAGAAAACTTTTTATAAGTGAAGTGCCTCAGCCAGCATTGAATGAGCCCAACGCAGCTGCTAAATTTAGTGAAGATGAACAAATAGAATACGACCTCAAAAAAGACAGTAATTGTTATCCCATTGTTAATGCCATTAAATAAAACAATTTGCAGATTTAGAAACTTTGGAGCAACTTAACCAAAAATTTAATGATCCTTCTACACCAGGGCCAATAAAGACCATGATTCTAAGTATTGCTCCAAAATCGTGGAGCGAAAACAGGCTTGCAAAAGAGTTTGGAACATCCAGAAGGCAGGCAAAAAATGCAAAAGAGTTGGTGCTTCAGGGACACATCTAGTGTGTGTGTGTGCACATATCACCAAAATGTGAAGCTTATGTTGCTTGTCTTAGGGCTAACACTAAGATTCATCTCACCTCCTATAAAGATTGCCTACAAAAAATGATGTGTGCCAATCCAACTCCAGCTTGTCAATTATAAACATCGAAATCTCAAAAAAAGTTGTAAATCTTGCCCTGGTATAAGAATAATTTAAGATAATTTAAGAATGGTTTTTAATCAAATTCAAATAAAAAGTGTGACATTTGAAGCTTGGACTGGTACTGATCGCTCTTCTTTTACAACCCGAATACTACCTATCGATGATTTTGTTGATCGTCTATGCGCTGGCCTTGATGTACTAAAACCACATGCCTATATTGTGGATCGGCAAGTATCTTTTTTTAATTCATTAAAGGAAAATTTAGTTGAAGGATAAATTATGGTCCAGTGTGATTTTGCTGAGAACTACAGTTTTGTAGTTCAAGATGCTGCCCAATCTTTCCACTGGAACAACAATCAAGCCACCCCTTTAACATGCGTTTTTTACTTTAATAAAGAACGAGAAGTAAAACATGAAAGCATTGTAATGATAACTGACGACCTTAAGCACGATACTGCGAACTTTTATAAATTTCAAAAAATTTTACATAAACATTTTGAAAAGAAATGTTTCCCGGCATCCAAACTTTTTTACGTGAAAGACGGAGCATCACAGCATTTCAAAAATCGTTTTAACTTTTTAAACCTATTTTATCACAAGCAAGATTTTAATAAAGATGCGGAGTTACATTTTCATCCTACTGAAGAAGAAAATTTGTGGGTTCGTAACTACCTACTAAATTTATTGTAATACAATGCTGCATGTTTCAATGCCTATTATATTTTTTGTTTCAGTAAAAAAATATTTAAAAGGACAATAAAATCAAGTAAAACAATATCAATGTAGTTGTGCACAATAATTAAATTTTATTTTACAAGTTTTTTAAAAGCGCGATCGACTAAACATTGTATCACGCGCTAGGACCTAACGCCGCGGCGCGCCGCTGTGCGCCACTAGGTTTGAGGCGGGTTTACTCCAAGTCCTCTAGCATTTAAACGAGTGCTCATCCCATTACAAAATTTTGTATGCCTCATCTATACATTTTGAGAGAATTTTTAAGCAATTAAAAAAATAAAAAAAACTGGCCGAAATTAAAAAAATTATAATTTTAATTTTTTAAAACAAAATTTTTCATTTTTAACAAATTGGAATTTGTAATTTGGGTGCATAATGAAAAAGAGCATACAATTACCTACTAATGTGATTTTTTATTTTTTTTCTACGAAGATTTTTCAAGAAGCTAGACCCCTTTAAAATACACCATGCACAACGTTTTGACGAAAATATAAAAGCCCCTAGCAGGGTCCCTAGGCTTCGCAGGGTCAAATAGTTTTATGTCAATGCTAAGACCCCTTAAGGGTACAGCATACCCAAATATGAACAAATTTAAACAACTTTGCTTTTAAAGTTGCCCGCTTGGCGTGAAATGCCCCATATATAACAAACACATGTATTAAATAAAAAATAGAATTTATTTAATTAAAATTTACTAAATTTCATACTCCTTATTTGTTATATAAGTTGCCTACTCTAGGGTTTAGGTGGGAAAATTCGAGTTGAACGGCTAGGGCTTACACGCATTGTCCTTGTTAAAACAGCAACAAATTGTATTATCTGTGCTTGGTTTAGAATTTGACGATGCAAGGTGAATGTTTTACCGGACCGGCTTTACTAATAAATTATTTACCTTTTTTACTTTAAGTAATGTGTAAAAGGAATTTTTAAAATTATAAAATTATTTTAATCAAAATATTCATGTGTATTTGTTTTCACAATATTTATATAAATTAATATACCTACATAATAAATTGTTTTCGGTTATTTAGAAAAAAGAAGGTAACTGTTTTAGAAAACGCTTATGGAATGTGATATTTTTATAATGTATTTTATTTATACAATAAATGTAATCAACAAAATCCAAAGGTTTTATTGTGTTATAACTACTGGGTAAATTAAATTTTATTTTTTTGTTCTTAAATCAGGAAAGTATCATAAACGGACTGACAAACTTGTGCACCCATTTGCCCAAAAACATGGCGCCCGAATGCGAAGACTTCGTCCAAACATACACCAACGAATTGGTTGACATGCTGATGGCGGATTTTACTCCGAACGAAGTTTGCGTTTACTTGCATTTGTGCGAAGATAAACCCAAACCAAAATCCGAACAACGTCCAATTACCGTTGTGGATTTTGATGCCGACTTCTTGAAAGAAGGTGGAGATGTCCGTAAGTAGTTTTTTAAAGTATGATAATCGTTTTTAAATATTGAACTAAAACATTTCAAGAGTCGCATTTTAAAAGTTTGTAGCTTGTCCACTTTTGTATCTAGGCGATGCATCGCGATGTGCGATAACTACATGTTTAGTAACATTGTAAACTTAAAAGCTGACTTATATAGTATATTTGTATCAAGTTTGATAAACACCATTTTGGTCACGAATTTAATTTAGGCTCGAGCTAGCTTGCGAGCGAGTGCTTAATAAAATGATATACAGGGTGTCCGGGAAAAAGAGGTCAATCCGTTAACCATATATTCCTTGAGTTAAAACAATAAGACTTTCATAATACAATTTTTCAATTTAGAGCTTCATGTTCGATATACAGGGCGACAAAGTTTGAAATTTAAAATTGATTTTTTTTAATAATTCGAGTAATTGATAAGATATTAAATTCAAATTCGGTACACTACTTCAACATAAATAGTTACATTTTTTGAGACCAACAAAACACAAAACAATTGTCAAATAATCAAAATAGGGGGGGTCCAGTACTCACTGACTCCCCCTATTTTTTAGTACGTGCGCCAATGACTTCCAAACGGTATTTTTTCAGATAATCATTTATTGTTAAAAAAAATTTGTCTCCTATAAAATTTTGATAAAATGATTTGTTTTAGAGATAATTTGTAAAGTATGGGTCAGTCCATATCAAATCAACCAAAGGTTCTTCCCCCACCATCTCCGATTTTGATAATTTTTGGTAAATTTGTTTACCTCACTAAAAAACTCAAAAATCCCATATATGAATTTTTTTCGATAGGTGGTTTTTGTTTTATTAATTTTTGAAAATCAAAAAAATCCGATAAATTTGGGTCTTGCAAGTACTTACAAAAATAGCGATATCTCGTAAATATTAAGTATTAAAAGTAGAAAGGCTTATTTTAAAGGCCTATTAGAGACCTTTTTATGATATATCACATGACCTAAATTTTTTCAAAAAAAAAAAAAAATTGAAATGGACTGACCCATACTTTACAAATTATCTCTAAAACAAATCATTTTATCAAAAATTTATAAGAGACAAAAAAATTTCAACAATAAATGATTACCTGAAAAAATACTGTTTGGAAGTCATTGGCGCACGTACTAAAAAATAGGGGGAGTCAGTGAGTACTGGACCCCCCTATTTTGATTATTTGACAATTGTTTTTTGTTTTGTTGGTCTCAAAAAATGTAACTATTTATGTTGAAGTAGTGTACCGAATTTAAACTTAATATCTTATCAATAACTCAAATTATTTAAAAAAATCAGTTTTAAATTTCAAACTTTGTCACCCTGTATATCGAACATGAAGCTCTAAATTGAAAAATGGTATTATGAAAGTCTTATTGTTTTAACTTAAGGAATATATGGTTAACGGATTGACCTCCTTTTCCCGGACACCCTGTATATATATATATATATATATATATATAGATATACTTTTTACAAATACTTAATATTATCTTAAAAATTATTTAAATTAAATATTTTCATAAAGCGATATCTATACGAAAATAAAATAAACAATAAACATTTTTGACGTAATGTTCACCATTAATATTGCTCGTTATTATTTTAATTAAACTTAACAATGATTGATACTTTAAAATATTAAAATAACTTCAAAATATGATTATGTTAAAAAAATGTTTTATCCTTTTATTACTTTTGTTGCAAAATATTATTATAAAGTATTAAAAATTCTTACACTGGAAATGTTAAAGGTGCAAAAAGTATGTGTGTATTTATTGGAATTTCTAAGTTAAGAATCTACCGGCGTTAAAATCTTAAATTTTTCTGTGTAAATAAAAATGTATCCCTTGAAAATAGACTAACAATCGATATAGCAGCAGTTTTTCACAGTAAAAGAGAAGAGAATATTTTATGGACGCTTTATCAGTTAAATCTAGTTAACTGCACTACTACGGCAAAATTAAATGGTCATCAGTACAAACATTCAAATAATCTTTTCAAATATTGGCGTCCAGAAACTATTTACTATTTTTGTATTAAGATAATAAAATAATTTTCACATTTAGTATTATTTTACAAGAAAGGGGCTTTATTTTAACGATAGTATGACATTTGACAACTGTCAATTAACTTCAGCCCGTGACTAAAGCGCCATAAAGCCGCAGTTTGTAAATGTGTATTTAAAAAGTCACTTAGTGTCATGGAAACATCTACGATGGGCGTTTTAAAGGTGGGAGTATAAAAAATTATTTTAACAGTAAACGAAAACGGTAAAATAACGGTGCAAATACAAAAAATTACAAAATATGGTTTAATACGTTATTTATACTACATTATAAGCGACCAAAAGAACAACGTAATAAACACAAATTAAACACCACATTTAATAACGTTAAAGTAACTTTTCTTTTTTTAAACCTACAACATTTATATTTTCTTTGTCTCTTTAATTTATATTTTAAAATAGTATTCATAAAGTAGGCATAAAGTTTACTATAAATTAAAATTAATAAATATAAACCAATTATTTTGCAATAAAACCCAAACGCATCTTATCTTTTATTGATAAAAATAGCTATGATACATCATAAAAAACGTTTGCCCATATACAGGATGTCAAAGTTAAAAGTTCGTTTTCGATTTTATTAAATAACTTTAGGAAAAACAAACGTTTTGCACAAAATTTGATATTCCGGGGTTCTCAGAACAGGAAAATTAAATTTAAATAAAAAATACGTTGGTTGTAAAGGGAGCTCGACCAATTTACTTAAGGAGGTTTAGCACGATATTGGTCGCTATGAGAAAATTTTGAAAAAATTAGTAGTCTACTTAAAGGACATTACAAAATTTTAGATATATTGACCGTCTTGTTTTCGAGTAAAAAATATTTAAGTTGCTAAGAATACATGGGCTGTTATCCCTGTTATTCAACAGTGCATACTAGAAAAAAAAAAATCGGTTTCTTATTGTCATGTTAAATATATCCACGTGAGTGATAAAAATGACTTTAATGCCGAGGTGCATATTTTTTATCCCAAATCACATTTAATAATACCAATAATTAATATTGATGATCAAATAAAATGTCAATTGAATGTAGGAAGTGTCTACGTATACTGTTTGTTGCGACGGTTTTTATATATTTGCCCGCCGCGGCGATTTTTTAATCTAATTAATAAAATTAACTTATTATTTTTATTAAACAACATTTTATGAAAGGGTCCAATCGACCTTCTCGACGGCGCTTTTTATAAATATTATTTAGTTGCTGCTGAGGATCAGTAGACAGTGTCTACTAGGCGCATCTTAAAATGTATAATGGGTTGCATATAATACTCCTATTAAATCGGCAGATTTCTTTTACTTTACTGCCAATTGTTGACTAGTTTACTGCCGATTTCGGATAAAAAATATTAAAAGATTTGAAAATAAATTATCTTAAAATGACGTTAGGCGTCAAAAACATACGGATACATGAAAATTAAGCTTTAGGCGTTACGCTCAATTCTCCATGTAGCTCGTACCGCATAATAATAATAATAATCTTTATTCATCAACTAGAGCCTAAAATACAAAGCCTTATTGGACTAGTCAAAACAAAATTAAGTATTCATTAATAATAACACACGGCAGGGCTGGATGCTCCCGCGGACGAGTTTTGGTTCGCGCCGCGCATGACGTCACCTGATGAGTAGTTGCAGCGCGAATACACGTATAATGCCTATATTATCAAAGAAAATAGACAAATATCTGGACAAAGTGCGATATTTTTAAACTTGATATTGAAAAAAATGTTATAATATGGATGATAGATGATTTGGAAAAATATTTGATACTATTTAAATCTATTTTTTGTTGTAAATTTGATATTAAAAGTATTTTATTAATATTTCTTCATAATCTATATTTATTTGGTCAGTTTGAACCCTAAAAACAATCGGATAGAAATAAGCATAACAAACGAGTTTTAAATATCACCCTTTATTAGAAGAGCTACAGTCCTTCACCAAATTATTATCCATAATACTACTACCACCAACCCCATTATCAGCAATTTCTGGTGGTTCTTCCACCCTATTAATTGATAAATTTAAAAATACACATGAGCAGACTAATAAATGCTTAAAAACTTACGTGTCTCTTGACGCTAGAAGGATATTACTAATAAGTTGAGCCTTTTCCAAGTGTTCTTTGGCCTTTTCCTTTTTTCACTTAAAAGTTTACGATTGTGTCCACTTGTTGACGGCACAGAAGAAACCTGAGTTCGAGGTAAATTTTGAGTAGGCACAGCATCATCTTTCAGTCCACGATAACGTTTAGGGCTGTAGTTTAAGAGTTTATGTTTTAAATTATAGTTGTAGTCACTGTCCAGAAAATGTTTAGAGCAAATAGTAGCGCGCTTAACGTTAATTTTGTCTCTTCTTTTCGTTGCATGTAACCACTTTTTGCACAAACTTGTGTTTTTCGGAAATCGATGGTATTTAATGTCTTTATTGGTAGGGTTTTTCTTGGACTGGTTGTCCGAAATGCATCCAAATATGGCACACCGCATTTTAATAAATGCAAACGGCACAACACAAACTAATACACAAACAAAACAACGAAACACAAAAACAATAATATTAGCACAAACAGAACAGGTTAACACAACGCAATAACAATAATTTAAACACTGAAAAGTAATTCTAACCTTACAGAACGCAAAAACAACAAGTTAAACAAAAAAAACAGAGCAATTTAACATCTAACAGCTTCGCAAAAACCAGAATTTTAGCGGCAGATAATTAAAACGAACGTTAGAGATTTAAAACTACTCATCAAGTGACGTCATGTGACGTATTTTAGCTCCGCCCACCATGCGCACCATCCTATCTTATGTTGTATGTATCTTGAACACACGGTATAAATATACATCTAAATTAAAAACTTATAAATAAATAATAAAAAAATATTTCAAGTATTAATTAATTAAAAAAAACATGAACAAACAAACGTATATATGTAAATTATAACTAAAACTTATCTTTAAAGAACTCATCCACGCTATAATACATTTTATTTAAAAAAGTGTCTGAGACGATTTTGGAGAATTACAGTGCTATTGCAATCTACAACTAAATTATGAAGATGATTAAAACATTTGATTCCCTTATATTCAGGTGATGCTTGAGAGACACTTAAACGAGAAAAGGGCAAATGTATATTTTCCCGATTTCTTGTTTCATAATTATGAATTTGTTTAATTTTCGCAAAATTATTAATATTTTCTTTTGTATACATAATGAAATTTAATATATATATAGAGATGGCAATGTAAGAACTTGATATTTTTAAACAGCGTTTTGCATGAATATCCTTGATCTTTGTTGTCTATTAGTCTTAAGATCTTTTTTTGCATAATAAAAACATTTTCAAAATGAGCAGACAATCCCCAAAATATAAGCCCATATGTGAGATTTGATTTGAACAAGTCCAAAATATACCTAATAAACGTAAAACTGATATAGAAACACTGCCCCTTAAAAATCTTACAACGAAGCAGACTGAACTAAGTTTTGTACAAAGCGTATTTATGTGGTGTTTCCAAGTAAGCTTTGGATAAAAAGTTATTTCAAGATATTTTACCACTTTGTTGACTTTTATAGATTTATTTTGTAATTTAATTAACAAATCAAAGTTGTGTGAAATGTTAAATCTTGTTTGAAATGTTTTTTCTGCGTTTACTTCAGAACTCAATGTAGCTTGACTGGCCAACTCGCAAAAATACTTATGTCTTACTATAATGTTTGTATCATCTGCGTACAATACTACTTTCTTAAACTGATTTGTCAGGGTTAATATGTCATTAACAAATATTATAAAAAATAACGGCCCCAAAATTGAGCCTTGGGGTACTCCCAGTGAGACTGTTTTTCGTTCAGACACAGTTTGATATCTATTTTTGAGATAACTTTTTGCCCAATTGTATGAATTTCCACGTACTCCAATACATTCTAATTTTTTTAGTAATAATTCCTGGTCCACAGTATCAAAAGTCTTGCTTAATTTGAAAAAAAGACCCACAACATGTTTCTTACTATACTCGTATAAGATATTGCAGAACTCGTACTTTTATTTTTTCTAAACCCATTTTGATTATTTGTAGACAAACAGAACGGTAATGTTTTGAATCAGTTTTGCACCCCTTATATTTAAATATGGGAATGCACTGAGATGTTTTTAAAACTGTCGGATATTTACCTGAACTAAATGACTCATTAATTAAGTAGCTCAAAGGAACTGATAATGCTTCATTGACATATTTTAATATTTTTCCACTCACCTCATCTATACCTGGTGTTGGTTTACTTGTGGTTTTTATAATTGCTGATTTTACATCGCTTAGAATAACTGGAAATAAGTAACAGCTATTCTTGCATACTTAAATATTTAAAGATTCAATATTTAGTAAAATGAAAGACTCAAAAAATAATCATTAAACATATTACATATATCTGTTTTATCTGTAATCATTTGATTGTCTTGGTTTTTAAGTTGGATAATATTGATTTTATTTTTAGTTTTATTTATTATGTTCCAACTATCTTTAGCTATATTAGTCGAGTTTCTAATTTTTAAGTCATTTGCTAAACGTTTTGCCTTGTTTATTTCTATTTTGTATAATCTTTTAAATTTTTTAAATTGCTCTGTATATTCTGAGTTATTCAAACGCTTTGAGCATTTAGCCAAACCACAAAGATGTTCATGCATATTTTTTAAATTGTGATTAAACCACTTTTTTGTATTGTTTTTTTACTTTTTTCTTACATATAATAATAATAAATAAATCTATTATAAAAACTGTTAAATTTTGTACTAAAATCGTTCTCCAAATACAAATCTGCCCTGTTTTCTTTGATAATTAAATCCCTAAACATACTCATATTTTCATCGGAGTAATCGTGCATATACAAATATTTTATATCCAAAGCATTTATTTAATTTTAGGTACCAATATGATTCCTGACAATACCGTTAACGGAAACCCCGTCAAAGACGTAGGCAACAAACCTCAGTGCGCCCTGTGCGAGTTCGTGATGAGGGAAATCGACGATCAGCTCAAGGACAACAAAACCGACGACCAAATCAAAAAGGCCGTCGAGAAAGTTTGCACGATCATGCCGAAATCGCTCAGGTCGCAATGCAAAGATTTTATCGATCAAAATTCCGACACCATCATCGCTTTGCTGAGCGAGGCGCTCGAACCCAGCGAAATTTGTGCCATGTTGAATTTCTGCGACAAAAAAACTTTCGATGTCATGAGAGGTACCCACCCAATTTTTGTAAAATAAAAATTACCAACCTTGAAATATTTTTAGGTGAAATTCTTGAATGCGCCATTTGCGAAGGAGCTGTCGAAGCGATGAAGAAAATTTTGGACAACCCCAGAGCTGATCACGCAGTCATTCATGTAATGGAAAAAACTTGTCGTGCTATGCCTCAAAAATACAGAGAAAAGGTAGGAAAAAGATACAATTTACTAATATTATAAGTAAGCTACGTATTTAAGGGTTATGTTTAATGTAGTGTATATAGATAATATATAGTGGGTATACAATGTTTTGGTATTTATAATGGCAAGTAAGTATATTAAAATGCATATTTTCTTTTGGTGCATTTGGTGATAGATATTTAATACATAAAAATTCCCCTAAAATTTATTGATTTTAACAGTTTATTCTTAAAACGATCATGTAAATTTGTTTTATCAATTGTTGTCAACACTCAAGAAAAGTACAACCAAAGTATTATAATTACAGATAGGAATCGAAAAGTTTTCATTTCAAAAAAAGTTTCCATTTTGGAAAGTTTCCAGTTGGGAATTTATTTTTATTATGAAAGTTACTTTTAAAATTGCCGGAAATTTTTCATGCTTTGTAAATATCAATTGTTTAACAGCTGATTTGCGAAATTAAGGCCAAGAAACTGAATAAGAAAAAATTTATTTGTGTTAATTGAAAGATGAAGAAGTTTTTTAAAGATCTTATCATCATAAAAGCAAAAAACCCATAAAAGCTTTTTAAAAGGTAAACAAATTAAAAACAGTAAACAAAACAAAGTAAAAAGCAACTCCAGAGCCTGTATTTTAAAAAACGATAGACTCAGGCTTACTCAAAAATGTTTATATTTTATTGGTCAGAACTACAATACTATTTTAGTTTCTTTTACTTTTCGATATCCCTATGTAGGTAGCCAATATTATTTATTTTTGCAATCTTCCTGGCATAAAAAACTCATTTCCTCAATAAAAAACATCAGAAATTTTCGATGAAAAGTTTCCGGGAATTTTCCCTTCTCTAATTATAATACGTTAAATACCATAATTTTGAATAATATACAGTGTGACCCATTTGTTTGTGACTCACCCCTGTAAAATCTTTATTTGTTGTGAGATTTTAACCGGATTTGTTTTAAAGTGTAAAGTTTAATAAACTGCATTTTTGGAGCAAAAAACACAAGGGGTACTAGTCAGTTTTTGAGAGTAAATTTTTAAGAATTTATATTAATTATTAAAAAATTCACGGCACTGGTTTCACCACCCCTGAAAACGACCCTATACTAAATTTTAATTGAAAATTAAAAATTTTTCAATAAATTTTAGTACTCTTAAAAACTGACATTTTGTAAGATTTTACAGGGGTGAGTCTCAAACAAATTATAAATATTAATATTTAAAAATGTACCTATCTAATTTTTTTTTTAAATCGTCGTTTTTGCGCGATTGCGAGAACAAATTACATGGAAACGCCGTAGTGCGCGTCAGTGCGGCGCGTTAATTTCTTCTCTTGCTTACAATTAGCATTGTACTGTCAGTTTGTAGTTTTTATAATACAGTACATAATATAATATATCCTTTTTCTCTCTGTCTCTTACTTTTTCCTTGGAAACGTTTATTTTCTCCTCACCACATATGCATGCGTGTTAGACTCCATTTGAAGAGTTTCCATCGAATGTCTTCAAAATTTAATATATGATTTTGTGAGGCATCAGACACATTCACAAATTATTTCAGATTTTTTTACAGCACAGATTCTAAGAAAATAATTTTTAAAGTTTGTAAATTTGTTTTCATTAGATCGCTGATGAGACTTAATAATTAATTTTGAAGCTATCAACATAATCCTTTTTTGTTTCTCTAGTTAGAAAACGATTTTTTAAAATTTTAAAATAATTTATAGAAAATCTGTGGGAAATAACACTTCTCCATTTAAAGAGTTTGATAAATAACAGGCAAATTCAGCGGTGCCAATGTAGTAAAAAATAAACTGTATTTTAACTAAACAAATTACAACTTTATTACAAATTACAAGTCTCATTTAAAACTAAAAACAACATACAAAATAAATAAGTAACAATATAAATTGTTAATTTGTTATAATGGCAAAATTAAGGTTTAAAACTATCATATTTGTTTGAAACAATAATTTTAAAAAGTGCTAATTTTTTTTTTAATTTCCATAAAAAATATACTATGAAGCTTCATTCAGAACCTCGTAATTAGTGGAATAAATTGGTGGTTTCAATTAACGTAAAAGTTTGTCTTATGAATATACACAGTGTTGTGCACAACCAAAAAATTGGTGGTAGTACTTTTCAATTAGTGGAAAAAGTTTGCAAACTTCTAACTTTTACCACTAATTATAATTGGAAAGCGGCTTTGCGCATGTGCGCGGGTATTTTATGTCAAAAGCAAAAAGTTTGAAGATTTGCCAGTGAAGTAAAGGTTATATAAATATTATTGTAATGGTTGTAAAAAATATTATTTTAATATAATTAATATTGTTTATGTCAGGTTAAGAAGAATGGGCAATCTTTTAGCAAATTCCCTTAATTTTAGATCTTAATTTTGCGCATTGTGAATGATCGTTTTATGTTAATTATAAGTATAATTAAAACCACTAATTTTTTCCACTAATTTCGAGGTTCTGAATGAAGCTTAACAATCAATTTCTAAGCCTTCAACAGATAACAGGTAAATTTCAAGGCAGTTTTGTAAAACCCTTTATGGGGAAGCCAAAAGTGCAAAATTGTAACAAATTGGGTGGTTGCTTCCTCCGCCATTTTTGTTTAAAGGGGTGATTTTGTTTTTGGAAAATAACTTCCTATAAATTCACGTTAAAACCTGAAAAAACAAAGTTATAGGGAATAAAATTACCTAAAATTTTTTATCCAATAAACTTTATAAAAAAAAACAGTCTGCTCTTGACGCTTGAAGTGTAAGCATATGCTCATCGATCTCTCTTAAGCAGCGTATACGATACAAACGTAGTAACGTGATAACTGGTTAACGCCGTAAAATAATAAAAAATCAATCGATTCTAAACGTGATAACTGTCCCAAGTGCAAAAGAGTGCAAATTGTGTGTGGTACCTCCCCCTGGATTAAATCCTCAAGTGTTGGACCTGGTTAAGAGGTGTGAGAGAGACGATCACTTCCACGAAATTTACTGGACTACCACACGTGCGAGCGGCATGCGAAATGGATCAATTCCAGCACCAAATAATCAAGCTAAGTTATTTTTTCCAGTTGCATGTCTTACCGTATATTCGCTAAATGTTTATAAAAGCATTTCACAATGTTTATATAAGCATTTCACAATGTTGCAAAAAGAAAATACTAAGAATTCTTTTATTGTCTCAAAAACTAAATTAAAAAAGAATAAGAACATTTCCGTAAGTTTAAACAAACAACCTCATTTTCTCATAGCAGACAAATCATAAACAACCATCGAAAAAGGCGTAAGATAAATAAATAAATAAACCAAACATGCAAGAAGACAAAAAATAACATAAACAAGTTGTGTGTGAATAGCAGTGTTGCCAGGTGTAAAAGTTGAAATTATCGAATTGGGTAAATAAAATTATCGAATTTTCGGAAACAATAATTATTATAATTTAATCATAAAAAAGTGAAAGAGAAAGAATCGAATTTTTAGAAAATTATAAAATTTGTTAAAAAATAGTATAAAGCTGGATTTATAGTTTAGAAAGTAGCGGTAGCGGTAATGGCGGCCCCTCGCAAAAACACTAAACTTACAAGACGAGGCTGTCAACTAAAAACTGCCGTGTGATTGGCTGGAGTCGCGGTTGAGATAAGAAAAGATGAAAAAAGGTCATCTCTTGCCGCTCTTGCCGCTATAACGTATACGTTCTTGCCCCTTCTTCCCTTACCGCTTCCTCTGACAACTATAAATTGTTTCATATAATATTCAATGCCCAACTTGGCTACCGTTATCGATGCCTCTATCGTTACCTTTAGAACTATAAATACCGTACGGAAATCTATAAACAGCACTACGGTATTGCTGATATTTTACGGGAGGAAGGTAGAAAATCTATAAATCAGGCTTTATGTTTAATTAAATCTATTAATCTGGATAGAATAAAGTTAATTTTGTCCAGATACTTGGATTAAAAAATTACGTTACAATTATCGTTATGTTACATATAATTTTCAAGCTTGGTTTTAGAAAAAAATTATGTTACAATTCGATAATTTTGTTACAAATGGCAACATTGGTGAATAGGTAATATTGTATATGCATTTAGGATAGATAAGAAGGAAGACCCACTCAGCCTACGCCATGTTGCCGCATTCCATTACATACACTACAGAGCCGGATTTACCCATTTTGTATATTGGTATTTACATTAGAGAGACTGATTAATTAATTAATAAATTAATAGACCGACTGATTGGTATGGATATTATGGGTGTTGGTATTGGTACTGATGTTAATATTATTGGTATTAATGTTGATATTGATGTTGGAATTATGGATATTGATATTAATATTATTATTATTAATATTATTATTATTATTATTATTAATATTAATATGAATATGGATTGATTAATTGGTGGATATTGATGCTAACGTAATATTGATTAATTGATTATTGGTTGATATTGGTATTGATTAGTATTGGTATTGATTAATTGATATTTATATAAGATCTATATAGATACTGGTTGACAATTAATAATTTTAAAATAAATAAGGAATATACAAGGTGGGTAGCCGATACTTGGCAGGAGGAATACCCATTAAGGGAAAGGACACCCACGGGTATCAGGGCCGTCAACGCTTCGATACGGAAGACAAGACTGAGTATCACACAGGGGGGCAAACAATTCTAAAGAGGTTACCAGGAACCTGATACTGATTCGGACAGTGACGTTCAGAAATACACCAAAAGGACAGGTTCTAGCAGCGTACTAACACTTCTACCCCCATTCAAGAATACCAAATGAATGGGGTTATTACTAAAGCCCTGGTTAAGGGGGATTCCGGATTGTACTTAGTTTAGGGTCAGTTCAATGTCCCCCAAAAACCCTTCCTAAACTGGACGTATGGCCCGACCCGGCTGACAAAAATTCCGGGAGCGGCCTTAACCTTTGACATTGTCTTCCACAACCTCCTAGGGCGGATCAACCAGCCGGCGTAAAAACCTCGGA